TTTATATATCATATAATTCACCCATTTCCAGTGTACAATTCAATGATTTTTAGTAAATTTACCAAGTTGTGCAGCCATCACCCTAAATCAGTTTTAGAACATTTTCATCCCAATGAAATCCCTCATCCCATTAAATGTTAATCCCTATCCCCACCCTGGCAACCACTAAGCTACTTTCTGTCCCTATAGATGTGCCTTATCTGGACATTTCATGTAAATGGAATCACATAATATGAGGCTTTTTGTGTCCGGATTCTTTCACTTAGCATACTGTTTTCGAGGTTCATCAGTGTTGCAGCATATATTGGTACTTCATTCCTTTTTATGGATGAAAAATATTCCACTGTATGGATACAGCACATTTTGTTTATCCATTCATCAGTTGATGGACATTGGGTTGTTTCCACTTTTTGGTTGTTATGGATACTGCTGCTATGAATACGCGTGCGTATGAAAAGCAATTTGCAAGCCCTAAACACTAGGTTCAGCTCCCAGTTTGTCAAAGCTTCTGGTGCTACTGTATGGTTTTGATGGCGATGGGATGTGTGACCAGGGGAGAGTCCCTTCCCTTCTCTGCTTGGGTCTCCCCATCATTCCAGAGAGAAGCTTGAGCCCTTTTCTGTGCAAACACTCTGGCCTCGCCCACATTCCTGGAGGATCAGAGTGCAAAGGAATGATAAGGAGCCTGTGGGCATCCCTGTGTCCAGCTGCCAGAGCCAACAATTAGGATAAGGAGGGCCTGGTCTTGAATTCCACCCTAGGGACCCCACCTGCCAATTTCTTCTCCTGGAGGACCAAAGCCCCATCTCCCACTCGATACAGACAGACAGACTCCAGGATTCAGAACCTCCTCACAGGGAGGGAATTTGGGTACAGCCTCTCAGTCCCTGGTGCTGGCTCCGGCCTCTGCTTCCCAGGTCCCAGGAGTCCTGCCCAAACCCTATTGGGCTCAGATCCCAGGAAAGCAGAGGTCTTGTTGGGGCCCGAGCTGGGGCCAGGAGGACTCTAGTGGTGGCTGGTCTCCCACTCCTGGGGCCCATCCCAGAGACCAGATCAACACTGTCCATCTGGGTTCAAGAGTTGTTTAGAAGATGCCACCTGCCTTAGCCAGTCACTGGGGGTCCACAGACCTAGTCCTGGCCTTTCATAAGCAACCAGTCCAGGGGTTGGAGGTGGGGTTGACAATAAATTTTCTGAATAATAATTTAATAACAATATATATTAAGTGACTGGTATGTGGTAATTGCTCAATTACTTTCATCTTCCTTTAGAAAAGGAAATGGAGGCTCAGAGAGGGGAAGTGACTTGTCCCAGGCCACACAGCTGGGGAATAATAACCCTGGGACTCAAACCCAAGTCCAAAACCAGCTTATAAATAGATGTAAAGCTGTGGAGTAATAAATACAATAAAAGATAAGAGTTGCTGTGCCACAAACTGATCTAAGGAACTTATGAACTCACTGAATTCTCATTGCAGTGATCCCCCCCCCCTTATAGATGGGGAAACTGAGGCACAGAGGGCTTAACTCAAATTTGGAAGTTCCCCAGACAGCGAGTATGGCCCTTACTCAAAGGGCTCAATGGGTCTGGAAGAGAAAAAAATATCGTAGGCGGGGCCAGGAAGGGTGGGGCAGGGGAGACCCCCAAGCTGTGCACAGGCTATTTGATGCATACACAAGTAGGGGCCTGGTGCACTCTGACCCTCCCAACCCAGCCTTGGTCAGCAGGCACCCCACCCCACCCCAGGATCCAGTGGGGGCTCTGCCTCCTCTTTTCTCCTTTCCTTTCCTCAAGCTGAAGGAAAAGGAGAGGGAGGGCATGTTCTCAGGTACAAAGGGGGCGCCCGCCTTAGAATAACAGGCCCCAAGGACAATAGCTGGGTGCATAATTCATTTGTCTGTCGGCAGAACATCAATTATGTGGGCCTTCTCTGGAGTTGTCTGGGGGTTAGAAACTGGAGCAGGCTTTCCCTGCCAGCCTCTGGGGAAAACAGGACCTCCCAACTCTTAAAGGAACAGACTCCCCAGGAATCTGCTCTTTCTCATGTGGGTGCCCTACTCCATGAGTCAGAGAGTGGAGCAGCTCCCCACAGAGTTCAGTCTAAGGCCCCCCGGCTGTCCTGAAAGATCCAATCCTCTCTGTGTCCCCTACTCCACAACTTGTGAGGGGCTGACTGTTATACACCAGGGTTTCTCAACCTCAGGGTTCTATTGACATTTTGGGCTGGATCACTCTTTGCTTTGGGGGGGCCTGTGCTGTGTAGGATGTTTACCAGCATCCCTGACCTCTACCCACTAGATGCCAGTAGCACCCCTCCCCCTGGCTGTGACAACCAAAATTTCTGCAAAAATTGCCAAGTGTCTCCCAGGGCTCAAAATCATCTCCATTTAAGAACCATTGACAGATCCTCATTTTACAAATAAGGAAACTGAGGCAAAGTTTCAATGTCCAAGACCAGTCAACCAATAAATGGCAGAGCTGGGATTCCACCCCCAGGGCCACACTCCTAACCTCGACACAAAAGTTCCAAAAAGTGTGCCGCCAAAATGTTTTATTCCAATAATCCCATACTTAACCTTGATGAATATTTAATACATACATTCCTAGCATGAAAAATCAGCAGTTTTGCTTATTATTTCTTAGGATAAGGCTAAAATAAAACAAATAAGATGAGATCGTTTTTGTTTTCTGTTTTTACCATTAAGGAAAGGGTAGTACAAGTAGCAGAAGAATACAAACAGAATGATGTCAAGACCGAGCAAAACAAAATGACAATTTGTTTATGGACGCATCCATTTGCATTGAAAACTATACAGTTAAACAAAGGGATGAGAAAAAATAATCTGCACAGAGGTTATCTCTGGGGTGGGGAAGGAAATATCAGTGTTATTGCCACATGCTCTGCTTTTTCACTTGGGTGGTGGGTTCGTGGGTGTTCATTTGATTACGGTTCATAAATTATACATAAATTAGGCCTGCTTTTGTATGTCTCAAATATTTCATTTTATAAACTGATTACAGAATTTTTCTTTTTCAGTGAGAGCAAATCAAGAAATTAAACTTTAAATCTATTTTTTTGAAACACAAGTTGTGTCGGATGTGACTATAGCAAAAAAAAAAAAAAATCAAGAAGTTGGTAGAACAACTGAGATTGGGGAGACGCTACATCACGCAGCGCTCCTTTTTCTTCTGAGCTGGCCCATGAAGGCTCCTTCCCTCTGCCTCTTCTCTTCATTCTCTGGCTTTTCCAGAAGGTTCCACTTTCTCTGATTTTTTTATGGCTTCTCTGTCCCTGTACAACTTGGGAGACACTGGCTTGGGGCTTGTGCTTATCATAAAGCTGATTCAAGCCTCGATTACTTGACCATTTAATTCAAGACCTCACCCTCCTATAACCTGCTCACCCCCAGGATCTCTGAGCTCTAATTCTCAAAGGTGGGTTGGCTGAGCCCAGTATAGATTGGCTCAGTCTGGATATTCTGTTCACCCCTAGGCCGCTCACATCAGCGGTGGCTAGGATAGAATGGTACAAGCATCATGACCAGGCCTGCCCCTTCAGCAGGGGCAGGGAAGGGCAAATCTCTAAATAGAAGAAAGATGCATGGAGGCCTGATGGGTTTAGGAGGCTAGATTTTTGTCCTGAGGCATCCTGAAGATTGATTATGCAGAGGAGTAATGCAAATTTGTATTTCATGAAGATGACCCTCAGAGCAATTTATCACATCCACTTGCATTTCTGCATAGTCTGAAGACTGGCCTAGATTCCATTCATTCCAACAAACATCCATTGCATCCACTGAGCCCTTTCTCTGAGCCAAGCCCTCTTTTTGATCCAGGGGACTCAAAGGTAGTTAAGCTAAGGTCCTTAGCTCCAAAAAGTTCATAGTTCGAATCAGGAGTTAATAACATGGGCCCAGGATGTCTGTGCCTCCCTGGAAATTACCTGCAAAATCTTGTGTGTCTGGGCAGTTTTCTATCAAAAGTGTCCTTAGTTTCATCTGATTTTTAACACAGCCTGAAGAGCTCATGCTCTAGGGTCAGACAGACCTAGCTCTGCCACTTTTAAGCTGTGTAAGCCAAGCTTCCTCATCTGTTCATGGAACTAATGCTACTTAATGGGGTTGTTGTAAGAATGAGATAAAATATCTCATGGAAAGTGCCTAGCACACAACCAACACTCAATAAGGGGCAACTATTGTTATCACAGGTATCATCATCATGAAAGTAGTACCCCGCCCCATTATAATTATGAACCACTGGTCTAGATCATGAGTCAGCAAACTATGGCCTGCAGATCAAATTCAGTTCACTGCCTGTTTTTGTAAAGAAAGTTTTATTGAAACACAGCTATGCCCATTCATTTATGTATTATCCAAAGCTGCTTTCATGCTATACCTGCAGAGTTAGATACAGTAGTACCCTCTTATCCACAAGGATGACGTTCCAAGACCCCAGTGGATGACTGGATAGTACCAAACCCTACATATACTATGTTTTTTCCACCTGATAATCAAGAAGGCTACTAAGTGACTAACAGGCAGGTAGTGGATAGAGCATGGATACATTGGATAAAGGGATGATTCCTATCCCAGGTAGGACAGAGCAGGATATTGCAAGATTTCATGATGCTACTCAGAATAGCATGTAACCCAAAACTTATGAATGGTTTATTTCTGAAATTTTCCATTTAATATTTTCAAACCATGGTTTACATCAGGTACCTGAAACCATGGAAAGTGAAAATATTTACTATCTGGCCCTTTATAGAAAAAGTTTGGCCCCCTCTGGGCTTGCTGATTAGCTTTAAATCATTTTAATTCTCTGGGCCTCAGATTCTACACCTGTACAATAAGTAGATTTGAATAAATTATCTTTTTAGTTCAAACATTCAGTCATTAAGGGACTCGTGAGATGTGAAAATGCTCTTGAACATTGAGGACTGCCATGCAGACCCAGGGTGCTATGATGATCATCCCGTTGGTGGTTGATAACTAAATTCCACTCTCTTCTCCTCGCAGATCCTTGCCATAATTTCCATCATGTTCATCGTCCTCTCCACCATTGCCCTGTCCCTCAACACGCTGCCCGAGCTGCAGAGCCTCGATGAGTTCGGCCAGAGCACAGACAATCCCCAGCTGGCCCACGTGGAGGCTGTGTGCATTGCATGGTTCACCATGGAGTACCTGCTGCGCTTCCTCTCCTCACCCAAGAAGTGGAAGTTCTTCAAGGGCCCACTCAATGCCATTGACTTGTTGGCCATCCTGCCGTACTATGTCACCATTTTCCTCACCGAATCCAACAAGAGCGTGCTGCAGTTCCAGAACGTCCGCCGCGTGGTCCAGATCTTCCGCATCATGCGTATTCTCCGCATCCTTAAGCTTGCCCGCCACTCCACCGGCCTCCAGTCCTTGGGCTTTACTCTGCGGAGGAGCTACAATGAGTTGGGCTTGCTCATCCTCTTTCTCGCCATGGGCATCATGATCTTCTCTAGCCTTGTCTTCTTTGCTGAGAAGGATGAGGAAGACACCAAGTTCAAAAGCATCCCAGCCTCTTTCTGGTGGGCCACCATCACCATGACGACTGTTGGGTATGGAGACATCTACCCTAAGACTCTCCTGGGGAAAATTGTGGGGGGGCTCTGCTGCATTGCAGGGGTCCTGGTGATTGCTCTTCCCATTCCCATCATTGTCAATAACTTCTCTGAGTTCTACAAGGAGCAGAAGAGGCAGGAGAAAGCAATCAAGAGGAGAGAGGCTTTGGAGAGAGCCAAGAGGAATGGCAGCATCGTATCCATGAACATGAAGGATGCTTTTGCCCGGAGCATTGAGATGATGGACATTGTGGTTGAGAAAAATGGGGAGAATATGGGTAAGAAGGATAAAGTGCAAGATAACCACATGTCTCCCAACAAATGGAAATGGACAAAGAGGACACTGTCTGAAACCAGCTCAAGTAAGTCCTTTGAAACCAAGGAGCAGGGATCCCCTGAGAAGGCCAGATCATCTTCTAGTCCTCAGCACCTGAACGTCCAGCAGTTGGAAGACATGTACAATAAGATGGCCAAGACCCAATCCCAACCCATCCTCAATACCAAGGAGTCAGCAGCACAGAGCAAACCAAAGGAAGAACTTGAAATGGAGAGTATCCCCAGCCCCATAGCCCCTCTGCCCACTCGCACAGAAGGGGTCATTGACATGCGAAGTATGTCGAGCATTGATAGCTTCATTAGCTGTGCCACAGACTTCCCGGAAGCCACCAGATTCTCCCACAGCCCTTTGGCATCACTCTCCAGCAAGACTGGGGGCAGCATAGCCCCAGACATGGGCTGGCGGGGAGCTCTGGGTGCCAGTGGTGGTAGAATTGTGGAGGCCAACCCCACCTCCAATACTAGCCATCACTCTAGTTTCATCATCGAGAGCCCCAAGAGTTCCATGAAGACCAACAACCCCTTGAAGCTTCGAGCACTTAAAGTCAACTTCATGGAGGGCCATCCCAGTCCACTACTCCCTGTTCTGGGGATGTACCATGACCCTCTTAGGAACCGGGGGGGTGCTGCAGCTGCTGTTGCTGGACTGGAGTGTGCCACACTCTTAGACAAGCCTGTGCTGAGCCCCGAGTCCTCCATCTACACCACAGCAAGTGCTAGGACACCCCCCCGGTCGCCCGAGAAACACACGGCAATAGCATTCAACTTCGAGGCAGGTATCCACCAGTACATTGATGCAGACACAGATGATGAGGGGCAGCTGCTCTACAGTGTGGACTCCAGCCCTCCCAAAAGTCTCCCCGGGAGCACCAGTCCCAAGTTCAGTGTCGGGACAAGATCAGAGAAGAACCACTTTGAAAGCTCCCCCTTACCCACCTCCCCTAAGTTCTTAAGGCAGAACTGTATTTATTCTACAGAAGCATTGACTGTAAAGGGTCCCAGTGGTCAGGAAAAGTGCAAACTTGAGAACCACATCTCCCCCGATGTCCGTGTATTACCAGGGGGAGGAGGCCCTGGAAGTGCGCGGGATCAGAGCCTCTGAACTACCCTGCCACGGAGGAGAGACTTGTGGGTGAGGTCCAAAGAGGAGGGCTGTTCGGCTTTCCTGCCACAGAGCTTTTCTGCATGAACTCTAAAACAGAAAGGCCCTGAAAAGCCCCCAGAAAGAGGAGAGACTCCAGAGAAGGCTCCTTAAGACCTTGAGAGCCACAACCAGCATGAAGTTGGCCAAGCCATGGGGTACAGCAGCTCCTTGTAACGACTCTGTTGCCCTCTCTGGGAGATGACATGAGCAGAACTCATAGCCACCACTACCATCATTCTAGACCTAACCCAGGCCACCTACTCCCCATTCTTCTCTCATGGCTTTCCATCACAGCCTCTGAGGGCAACATCTCCATCCCTCCCGGCTTCAGCTAGAGAAGGATTCTACAATAAGTGGCTGACGTTGAAAGAATGGGCTGACCAATTTGGTATTGGGGGTTGCCCAGCCACCTCTGGGAACACTGGTCCATCACCTCCTGGATGGATCCCACTCTTAGAAGGCTACAGGGAATGCTTGTGTCATGGGGAAATCTCTGCGCCATAAGCCACGATCCCAGCGCAAAACCCTTACTCATATGTCTTCACTGACTTCCGTATTCCGTAGTACCTGAGATTTTATTTTGAGATATCATCAGGGTGAGTTGTACCACTTGTACTCAATTCTAATTGCCCCCTGGCAATCTGGGAAGGGTTCAGAAGGCGGGCGCTCAGCCAACAGTATGAACTTGGAGCATCGCTTTAGGGTTGTAGGAGGAAAACGCTTCCTGTACATCACTAGTGTAGACTCAAAAGATATGCAAGTGTCACATATGCAAAAGAAATAGTTCATTCAAAAAGACTGTGTGTTACTGAAGAACAGCATAAACATCTGATTTTTTTTACCTGCAAGAGTGAAAGGAAAAAAAAAACACCCCTAATTGAAATGCCCACTTCAGACTTTTGAATACTTCCTGCTGCAACAGGGAAAACACCTACTATAATAGAAATTCTTTTTTGTTTCCTGTGGTATTCAAGCTAAAAAAAAAAAAAAGTTAAAATAAAAAGCACTTTATGTTTTTCAAAAATAGGTTCTACCAGGGACAGTGTCAACATCTTGCACTTTAAAACAAGCACTTTTCCCGTGGGCCAACTTGTTGGGACTGTAGTTGGGTTGTTGCTACATGCCTGTTTCCGGCCACGGTGGGCGATACCGTGCTGGTATCTCTGTCTGCCATATCGAAGTCTGTGGGCTCCTTCCCTGCCCCTCTGAAGCTTCCCCTTAACCCTCATGGGTCAGGAAGTCCTGTGTACAGGAGACATGCACATCTCAGAAGGATGCAGTGAGGGTTGGGCATTGGGTGTTTTACTCTGTTCTCTTTCCTGTCAACCAGCCATTGGTGTGTTTTCAGTGTCACTGTCTGTACTAAAAGCTCAGCTCTCCTTCCTGCAGCTATCAATGCAGCCAGTACAGACAAAAGCAATAAGTATTTGTGTGCATCCTGAGCAGTTCTGGTGTACTTCTTGGTGTTGGTCTTCCTGTCTTAGTTTGATGGCCTGGCGTTGTCCTGCCTACTTGTAGTCCAATGGCATGGTGTTATTGGCCATTCCTCAGTCTGGTGACATTGGGTTGAACCACTGATTAATACAATGCTATGGTGTTGGCTCATCTGTCAGTAAAGATAACATGTTATTGGTCTGCCTATCTGCAGTACAATGGAACAATGTTGTTCTCTTAATATAATGTGGATGGATGATGTCCTAAGTACAATAGTGTAGGTATGCCTATCCTCAATACAAGGACAGGCACATGTCTTCCTGATGGAACAAAGACATGGTGTTGGTTTGCCTGTCCTTAATATAATCTGTTGCTGGTCTGCCTATTCGTATAATGGCATGATCCACCTGTGAGTACACAAATATTATGGAGTTGTTCTGCCCACCCTTTGTACAAGGGCATGAGGTTGGGCCACCTGTCACAGGTATGACAACATGGGGTCATCCCACCACCCTTAAAAATGGGTGTTCTCTGCTGTATATGAACCCAGTTTATACCACTTCTCAGCATCTCTGGAGACTGTGAATCACCCCAGGAGGTTGCAGTCCAGTTCTTTGCTGTAAAAACCAAGAAAATGAGAACTTGACTCTTCCTAGATATCTTCGGAGTAGTCACACAACAAGTGCAAAGGCATTTAGGGGCAGGGAGAGTGTGAGGTCACCTGTGCTAGCTGGCACACCAGAGAGGAAGGAGCAGCGCCTCCAAAACTCTTCACCCAGCACACAGTCCGGGCTGGGGGCCTCTTGAGGAATGACTGTGGAACGTTCTCTGCCAGCCATCTTCTGCGTCTCTTCTTTGTTCTCATCACCATTTATGTCCACCATCAGCACAAATGTGACAATTCAGGGAAAACAAACAAATGCTTTTTGATAAAAGTAAATAGTGGTGATTTCCAATTCAGATATTTTTAGAGCTGATGCTGTCTGTAAAAAATATTAATGATAATTATAATAATATAGTCTATTTTACATATCAGGAAAGTGAAGATGTTTAAATATAGCCATATATAGCGAGAAGGAACTTACCACCCCTTCTTCAAATCAAGGTATTTCACCTGTTGGTTGAAGCAGATGAGAAGTGTACAGATTGGAAACAATTTCTTTTTTTTTTTTTTTTAACTAATAACCAATTGGTGCAACTCTCCTTGTAACCAAAGGCCCTTTCTGCCTTGTGTGGTCACGTAGGACCTGGCCCTTCCTTCCTCGTGTATTTTGTGTGACCTTCAAGTAGCATTTTATTGAGTCACTTTTGAAGGATGAATTCAGAAGTATCTTAAGAACCTACCTTTTCAGGCTTCATAGCCAGAGTCCTATAGAGTTCTTATAGAAACAGAATCATTGAAATTCAGCATATACTATGCTTAGAAAGTATTCCGTTTTGGTTTGGTTTTTTTTTTTCTTTTACTTGTGTGCATGTATTGTGACAATATAGCTTTTACCCTGTGCTCAATTCAAAATAGAGTATTGTAAGTTTTCCCAGCACCCCCACTCTCCAAAAAGGAATATCCCCAGATTTTTAATAGGTACACTTAACCCATACCTATGTACACGTATGTACACGCACTGGGAAATCTTTCTAAGAGTCTCCACTGAGAAGCTACGCTTGATAGATGGGTGTCGAAAGAAAAGAGGAAAGCAATGGTTTGGAGGCAAATATTGCTTTAACTGGTCCGTTTCCCACCCATTCCTGAACCACTGAGAGTTGAAAGAAACAAGTCAACCCAGACAAACAAAACTAGAGGCTGGAGGCAGATGGATGTCTGGTCCTTTTGGCGAATTCAGTGAAACTGGTCAAGAACCCAGCTGAACTTGAGTTCCAACTTCCACCATTATATGAAAGGGCTAGGGACCGGGTAGCTGTGTGTCCCCGTCACCCGAGGAGAGTCTGCGACCAGCAGTGAGCCAGGTGGGCAAGCTTTGGAGGAGACGGTTTTTTCATCTTTTTATCTTTGGGTAAAAGAAAACAACAGGACTTTGGTGCAGTCGATTTCTCAGTGCCTTCTTTAGGAATTCTATCTTAAGCACACTTTAAGGGGAAAGAAGAGAGAACATTTGTTCCCATGAAGCCCCTTTCTCTGAAAGGATTGGGGATCAAGAAGGAAGAAGCAGAGGAAGAAGAGGATACAGCAAAATCCTGAGGAGGCTATTTCCTTTCAACCTGCCCGGCTCGCCCCTGAGAATTGCTGGTGATACAAACTTTTTCAAACCTACTACCAACTTCTCCTCTACCATGTCTCGGTAACTGTAGCCTCATCTCTGCCCTTTCTCCTAATAAGATCCATGTTTCTAAGGAGAAAAACAAAACAGTATTCTCTTCTGTAAAACTGTAATGTATTGTGGATATTTGTAACTATTGTATATTTCTGTCTTGCTCCAGTCATGGCTGGAGTATCTAGTCCAGGAACAAGGGGATATTTAAAATTCACCACGGACAAGGGTCACTTAAGCCAGGTCTCTCTATCTCTCCTTTCCTTATATTTCTCTGCCAACTAGTCTCAAGTAACATAACCCCAGGCTTTTGAGCCTCAAATCAAGTAACTTTGAATGAAAGGAAGGCATGGCGTAAAGGCCCCAGGACGTGCTCCTTTGGGAAAGGAACTTTTCTGTAGCTATGAAGTTGGCAGGAGGAAGAAGGGGGCTCTTCTGGGTCCTCCCAGCAGGACAATGGAAAGCATGCTGCCCTGAGCTGACATTTCCTTGCCTATCACTGCTTATATGACAGCATCCAAATGCTTTCAGTCACTCAGCCAGGGTGACCCAAACCAGCCTTGGCTACACCCAGAAATAAGAGTTACCTCTGCATTTTCTGTTGTCATTTTTCTGGCTCTAGAAGTATCTGATGCACAGCTACGTCATAGGATGTCACGCATCTCAGAGTACTCTATTTTTCTGTTCAGATGAAATATATATATATATGTATTTTTAGCAAATTTATAATAGGGCGATTGAGTCTAATTTCTTCTTTTGTAATACAGAATAATATCTTAGGAGTTTTATTGTTGGTCATGTTGTAGCTGATACTTTCTGGTCTTTTTCATTTCTTCTCATCATCCCTTGGGCTGTTTTGGGGTTTGTTTGTTTGTTTTTTACTTCTTTTTGATTCTGATTTTCTGAGGGAGGGGCCTGACTTCTTTGTGTGGGCATTTCCTGACACTAGGCCTAGAGTCTGTCCATGTTGTTACTTTCCTTTTTCTATCTATGTGTTTCTCCTACTCATTGTTCTTAAGAATCCAGAGCATGAATGCAGGAGTGAGACCAAGGGAAGCAGAGCTGCAGAAGACCCTCAAAATAAGGATGGAACATGGGCTGGTTTAGCCTATACCCCACACCCCTCCAGAGATCTGAAGGGACTGAGCTTCCTCATCCCCAGAGGTCTTGGAACCAAAGATCTCATGCAAGCAAACTCCCTGCTGGCATGTCTGAAGTCCAGAACTCACCTAAATCCCTCTTGACTGGGCTCTTCCCAAGTCCAGCACCCCACTCCCTGGTCACATCAATCAGATCTGAAGGCCAGAGCATTTTTAGGGGGTTGCAAACATCAGAAGAACATACTGGGCCTCAGATCTCATCACCTTTTTTTTATCAGCTCTTCGTTTCTAACAACCTCACCAAAAATCAGTGGCCAGACTTCTTGCAGCCAAATCCTGAGAAGAGATGTCCCCAAAATCTGCTATCTCATCTCCCCTTCCCTTTCCAGCTGCCTGGCTCCATAGAGCAAGAGATTTGTGGCAAGGGCAGCGGTATTTTTCCAGCTTCCCCCTATCCAAGCCTTGGGGAGTTTTTGAACTATCCTGATAATTAATGCCACAAGGCAGTTTTCAGCCTCGGGTGGGCAGAGGACATCTCACTATGCAGGATCTTCAGCAGAAATTGATTAGCCATCCATCAACTCATGCAAGAATATGAAGAAAGGGCAGATAATCTCCAGCTTGCATTCATCTAGGTTTTGCTATCCCATTTGCCTTACTTTCAGCTGTGGGGCTATGGGCTCTGCCCAGAACCAGAGATTTGAGCCAATCCAGGACCCCCAGGTAGCAGTTAACAATCCCCATTAGATGAATCCCAAGAGGAAGCCAACCCAATTACAAATTTATTATTCTGGAGTATGACCCTAATCAGAGTTTTCCCACTCCAAAAATTCCTGGTAATCTGGTTTGAACCATAGTCAAATGACACAAGATCTTTAAAACTTTTGCACAAGAACAGCAACAAAAAACATAGCCTTCCAATGGTTTCCTAGGTTTGATGCCCAGATAAGCAAACACCGTGGCCCGTGGCTGTTTTCATCAAGAAAGCAGTTGCATAGTTTGGGTCTCCATCCACTGTCCCCAGTATTGTCTTAACCCGGAATTTCTCCTGACCTTCCCAATGCCAACTACAGAATTGAATTTAGAAGGGGCTCATTTCATCGAGTGAAACCTCATCTTCACCTCTAACCTGAAATCTCCATCCCTTCTTGCAAAGATGCTGAAAGATGTAAAG